GTGTATATCAATCACTCATCGACAATCAGCGATCTTTGGACCTGGAATAAAGCTTTTTCACTTGTTTGAATTTTGAAAATGGTGCATCAAATGTTCACAAAATAATCACAATTTCTTGTGAGAATTGGTCACTTTAAATGTTAACTCAATCGCTATTTGAAAATGCCTCAATTAATCATTTTGTTAACTACGGTAATCAATCGTACGAACTTCACATTGCAAACTTGGTGTGTTAATGAAACTTCAAACGATTGGTATTTATGAAGATGATGGAACTCCGCAAAGAAGAGTACATGAAGACTGCTAACTGAACGTCAGGCATTAAGGCAGTTCTAGTTTGTGTTGTAGTGATACGTAGCATTGAAAATTGAATTCATACTAAATGTACGCAGTCTAGAGCTGGTTAACACATTCTGCTTTCCTGGCTTATACTTCGCCTCGAAGATATGTCCTGCGAAGAAGGATATATCCTCTGCGAGAGGTGGGACGACTGAGTCGTAGTGCGCAGAACCGTATGATCTGTGTAGATCTTAAACGGCTTTGAGCCAAGCAGGCGCATCCTGAACTTGACAATTGCATACTTCGTCGCAAGTAATTCCTTGTTTTGGACTTTGTAGTTCTTCTTTACAGCCTTAAGATGACGAGATTCGAGCGCGATCAACCGATCTTGCCCCTCGGCGTCTGCTTGCAGCAGTGTACAGCCGATGGCAAAGTCCGAAGCGTCAGAGACAACACTAAAAGGACGATCAAGGGTCTGGCAACGCCAATATAAGTGGATGAAGATGACTGTCGTTGACCCTGTCAAAAGCCTCCCAATGCTTGGTGCCTCAACACCATTCCGTATTCTTCTTAAGGAGATTCGATAATGGCCGTGCCATTGCTGCATAGTTTGCACGATACTTGTGCAAGTAATTGGCGAAGCCAAGCCACCTGCGCAAACTTTGGAACCGGCCAGTCCACAATGGCCTTTGCCTTACATAGATGCCATTTCTGCATAATTTGCATTATACTTGTGCAAGTGGTTGGAGAGACCAAGCCACTTGCGCGCATACTTTTGGTTCTTTGAAACTTGACATCAGCGGGATCCGCTCGAAATCCATGATTCCCAGTAAAGCATCCTAAAAAGGGGATTTCTTCAGCGCAGAAGACGCACTTATCTGCATTAACATACAGTTGATTCGCGTGCATGCACTAGAGCACCGATCTCAAATAGACGATGTGGTTTTCCTTATCTGTCCTCTCGTTCCCCGACCGGCAGTGGACGAAGATGTGCATAGGCTCGGTGGGGCCTGAACAATTGCATCACAAGGCGATTAAATGTTACTGATGTATTTGACAGCCCTTGGGGCATCATCAGCTACTCCCAGAGCATCCCGCTCGGAGTACTCACCGCTGTCAGCGGAATAGTAGTCGCTCTCATGGGCGTTAATAATACCCATCGACCAAGTCGGGTGCGCTGTACTTTGTTCAGCCAACCATATTGTTCTGGAGATCATTTCTTCTAGGAATCGGCGTCTGTGTCGGGATGGTGGTAGCGTTTAGCTTATTGAAAGCGTGAACGATACGCCACTAGCCGTTTGGCTCCCGGACACAAAACGTGGGTGTCGAATGGGGAGACTTACTCTCACGCACCATTTATGCGTCGTGCTTCGCACGGAAAAGGCGTCAATGACATCACACTGCTCCTTGAGCAGAGGCCATTGGCGTGTTACGCAGTGTTTGTTCTACGGAATCAGATCGAT